AAAGGGAAGGGAGTTAGGGTTAGGGTTATCTTCCTTAGTGGTCAATACTGGAATGACCCAAAGGTTCCCAGCAGATTCTCCCCAAGGGACAGATGTGGCCACTAAGTGGAGGTAACAGGGAGACAGGGTGCCGGTGTTGCTGTTATAAGATGTTCTTCTCCTTTAAAAGAGTGTTGCCTTAGTTGCTCCTATGCTCTTAAAGGAGAGCTTTAAGAACATGTTTTGCACTGTTTCACTATTTACCCAATTTATCAGTTGTTTGAAGAAGCTGGTGGTTGGAGGGGGGGGAGAGTTCTTGTTAGCCCACCTCAGGAAACTGGAAATGCCCACTCACCCAACCCAGCCAGTGTAGGAAAGGCATGCTGTTGCTGATTTGCAGGACCCTGGAAAATGAAGTGAGGAAGGGGCGCACCTCGCACTAGTGGCCTCTGCACCAACTGCTCTGGGGGGCGGGGGAGGCTGCCTCGATTGCGTTACCTTCGTGCCTTGATAAAAGTCGTCTTTTGACTGCGTCCCCATGAAGGGGAACTGCATGTGCGTGTGCGTGTCGATTCCGCCGGGGAGAACCAGCTTGCCCGTGGCATCCAGCGCCTGGACTCCGTCGAGGGCAGAAGGCTGGAGGTGCGGCCCCACCGCCTTCACGACCCCGTCCTCGATGTACACATCGGCCACTTGGGAGCAGTCCGCGTTCACCACCTTCCCGCCTCGGATCAGGAGCTTCTGCATGGTCGACACTTCTGCGGAATCGCTCGCTCAGCCGCCGCGCGCGGAGCTCAGCGGCGCCGCGCTTTGAAGGTTCCCTCCCGAGTCGGCCCCGCCCCGAGGGCCCCACGACCTCCCTTCCCCTCCCCTCCCCGGCGGCCTTTTCTGAAGAAGTGACTCAGAGTCGCCGCTGCTGCGTCCTCGCCAAAGCCACTCGGTGCTTTCTTGCGCCACAAGTGGGGATGGCCTCTCGAGGTGCAAACCGACCCCGCGACGTTAGTTGGTGGTGCGCTGGCGGTAATGGACGCCCCATTCTACTAAATCCGCGACTAAATTATTGTGAGATAAGAATAAAGGAGGATTGTATACCCGTCAAATAATTAACATTACTGCGCAGTAATTCCTTAACAAGTCTGGTAGCTTTCAGGCGGAGGAAGCCACGGATAATTGTTTTTCCCCCAGAATGGACCGTTTAGCATGAAGATACTCCTTTTACAAAAAGTTAATTTTCCTACTGTGGTGCGGGATTCTAACTCCATAATTGCTAGTCAGGCTTGCTAACTAGGGTTGGGTTACCACTAAATGGCAGCAAAGGCTATTCTCTCCTTATTGCCAGCTGGTGGTGATCCAGCTTTTGCAGCCCAGACGAGGTAGCCCTACACTTGGGGATACAGAGGTTGAAGTGAAGCAACTTTGGGGAAGGCTATGTTTTAGGCTATGAAACCTTTTTAATGTAGACCCTCCTTTCAGCCAGGTTTGATTCCCAGTGACTTGTAGACACTTCCATTTAATTGTCTCGGCAAGAGCATCGAAGTGATTTGGAAGGTTTTCAGCTTCTCAGCCTTGTGCACTGCTCTGCTATTCCCTGGAGGAACAGTCCCAAAACTAACCAGGCCCAGGCCTAACTCTCCATCCCAAACATGGTTAGCCGTCTGCGGAGGCAATGAACTTTGTCCTTTTTTTTTTGTTTGTTTGCTTGCTTACACTGCTGATAAGAGTGGTCAACTTCAGCACTTCAGTCTTTGGCTTGCAAACATTCACAGTGGCCTTGAGCTCAAACATAGTTCTCTCTTAGGTAATAACGGATTTTAAAAAATGATAAAGGGAGCAGATATGTCAGCATATAGGACTGGGGTTGACCAGATACATGCAAAGTTATGGGGATCCCACAACTTTTTTTGGGGGGGGAGGCAGTCCTGGTGGGCACAGTTGGAATTCTGAAAATGCATGGATGTTCTTGAGAAGTAACAGTGGAGCTGAGGAAGGGGACTGCCTATTCACAAAATAGCTATCATGAATGACAGTTATGTGCTAGATTTATATCCCAGCTTTCTTTGATGAGCTCAAGATAATTTACATGGGGATTGAATTATTTATACATAAAAAGGAATAATAAGTAGTAGTAATAGTAGTAGTAGAATAGCAGCTGCCACCACCACCTTGGGTGCAATCCCAAAACATCTGGAATACCACTTGAAGGCACTGACAAAATCACCATCAGTTAATTGCAAAAGGCAGCTTTACTTGAAACAGCTTACATCCTACGATACCTTTAACACCATCAAACAACATCTGTCTATCCCAGGTCCTTGGGAAGGACTCGATAGGTGGATAAAAATGCCAAATCCAGTCAAAACATCTGGCTGTGTGACTAACAATAATAGTAATAATTCCTTTCACTGTATCTCAACAACAAAATTGTGAAGTGATTGATCCAAAGTCCCCAGTGATTTCAGTGGCTAAGGGGAGGACCTGAACCTAGTCCCCCCAATCCTGCTGCTCTAATACCCCAACCAATACACCATAAACATCAATTTACCATAATGCTACCTCCTACCATTGCCTCTAGTCTTCTCCACTTGCAGTGATGCTCTCTATTGCCTCCCCTGCTAATTTTATTTAACATAATTTTATAAGATGGTGTGGGCCATGACTACCCTGAGGTTATTTAACAATGGTCAGAATGTAAGCAGTTTTTAATTAATAGAATTATGGTATTCTTACAGAAATGGCCAACAAATTTGAATTTGGTTTTCTACAGGTTAATTGCAACTTAACATCTACTAAATCATACCAACTTTTGCTCTACCAGGTTAGAGTGGCCTATTGTCTACCAGATAAGAAAACAGAAGATAGCAAAATCTCTAACAATTTCATTGTGATGGTAAGAAGGCCCACCTATACATATCTTCTTAGAAGGATGGCTTTTCTATGTCAATTGTAAACAAATTAGTTAAATATGCCAGAAGACATTTTGTTTTTGCTGCAAGAGACAAACAGGGTTACACCCCTTTGGAATCAGTTCAAAAATTATTCTAAATTAGCAGTACATTTTCCCAAATGTTAAGCTTCTTACAGACCTGTTTAAAACAGGCTTTTGTGTAATATTTCAAAAATTATGATAATCCACAATACTTCAGTCTCCCTCCCTGGACTATAATTGCAACCAAGTCATATATACTGTATGGGTATTTATGGTAAGGTGCCTCCATACTGCAAAACAGGTCTTGGCTGGTGAGACAGGGAAATGAAAGAATGTAAATGAAGGAGGTAGGATTTAAAAGGCATATCTGAAAGCAGAGACCTCTGGAACAAGGATGCTGCCATTATAGCACTATATGCATCTAAAACAGTATTAGAGAGTCTCCATTATTGACAAGCCAAAAACAGTGTAAGCAATATTCTACATGTAAGTATGATTGGCCAAGAAGTGAGCTAATGAATCAATAAGCCCTTCTACAGACATGGTTCTGTTAAAGGAGGATAGCCAAAACAGACAGTTGTTCCCTTTGGAATTAGTTTATGCAATTTCACAACTCCAATTAATATTAGAACTTAGCTTGTTTAAAATGGAAAAGTTAAGTATTATGTTAACTGTGTTACCCTTGAGCTCACTAACAAGAGAATAAATTGTTAGAATAAACTGAGTGACATAGTTTGCAGTGTTATGTTAAATATTGTGCTAACTATGGTTATATTATAGTCATTTTTCCTCTTTCTTCATATCACTGGACTATTAAGGTCATCCAAAAGATTGCACTAGTTTGGCAATCTTACCTTTGCCTGCAAAGTACTTTGCTCTTTCTGATAAATTTGTCAATTCCTTTGCAGGAAAATTTACTTCTGTTCTTTCCAATTTCTTCAGTACACAAAAATGGTCTGCTCCGGACAAGTCATATTCCCCTTTTAATTACTACATATATGTTATGCATAGAAAAATATAATTCTTCATGCTACTGTACATAATCCACATTATGGAGAAGTTTGCAGTTAAGCACGTAATGGATGATTCTGACACCACAGCTGCTCTGAACACAGCATGGTAGGGGTGGATGAAGAATCCATCCAGAGAGATTATGGTTCCCTCTCTGAAGTAGCTATAAGGCTATAAATGAATCAGCACACAACCCATTTGTAATTTCAGATAAATGCGCTGCAGTTCTTCAAGTGGTCATCTTGGAATTCATGCTTATGGGTGATGCATCTGCACAAAGCCGCATTTGAAACCTTACAAAATTATATGGCAGGAGCCCTGCCATCCAAGCACACCATAAAATTATAGTCAGCTTTTGCTAAACATTGTCAGTTTTTAAAATCAACATAGCCAATTTGAGGAAACTATTAGGTCACTTGAGACTAAATGGGTTAGACTTACAGAATGTGTGAATTCAGAGATGACCATTCAAAGACCTCATGAAATACAGTTCGTTATCTCACTTCTTGGCTAATCATAGTTAAGTATAGAATGTTGCATGTACATTTTTGAGCCTGTTAAAGGAGACTCTCTAATACTGCTTTTGAAATTTCATAATCATCTCTGTGATTAACACACACTGGTTAGTAGTAAAATATAGTCCTGGCAAAATGATACCATACAATCCAAGTAAAAGGCAGGAACTTAACAGACATCCAGGGAATGAAGCAACGTTTCCATTAGTGTTAAGGAGTTGGCAAAAATATGTCATAATTCAGATGGAAGGTTAAGACTAACTTTGGAAGGAAAGAAATATTTGGATGAAGAGCTTTGTAATGAGCACAGTTCTCTAGCTCAACTAGCCAATTACAACAAAAATGGCATTTCCATTTTGTAGGTTTGATATGGTAGCCACAAATTCAAAGGATTTCAACATTAAAATAGTACAAGAAAGAAGCTCCAGCCAGCAGTGGTGGGGACACTGGAGGATAGAGGCATGCTAGGTCTTTCATGAAATGCTTTATTAGCAAGTTAGAAAAAAGAGTCTAATGACAGGGGGGGGGGGGGGAAGAAGATGCCTGCAAGATATGCTTCTACTTAAGAAAGAGCCAAGCCAATGCAAGAGAAAGCCCAAAATGTGATGGATCTGCTACTGCAAAATCAGATTAAACTGAGATCACTACAGGTCTGATGGAGGAAGGAGACCTGCTGACTTGCTTCTTTCTCCATAAAATTTGATGGAAAATTATTTTTCCACATCTAGAATGTGTGATTGTGTCTAAAGTTGCAATCTTATGCATGCTTACTTAGTATGAAGCTGCGTGAACACAAAGGGACTTCCATGTATAGGATGGCACTGAAAAATGTAACTGTTTGCCATACAGGATAAAACAAATGTCTTATTCTTAGAAACAAAAGTCATAGTATATTCAAGCCAATAGTTTGATCACTTTTTTGAAATCACTGAAAATGAAATGTTTTAATTCTAGGCATTCCCCTTTTGCAACAGGTTTGAATGTTTTTAAGATACTTTAGCCTAATTCTATGTTAAGTTTAAAGAAAAACAACATGATCTTTAGCTTGGAAGATAAAAAAAAAAAATGGAATCCTAGCAGACAATTTTGCAATTAGTAACCTTGAATTTGGTTCAAGAGATCCCCTCCCCTCCCCAGAACAAAAAGTATGAAGCGTACTAAGTTCTCTATATCTTGTTCATATTTAAAGACTGAGATAGAATCTTTTGCTGGCTATTTTAGAGCCTGGAATTAAACTGATATCCTCTCGTTTGAGCCCTATCTCTATACTTTTGGTAAAAGTGAACACTGCATTTTCTCAATTTACTCATTTACTGAGAAAACATATGATTCAATAGTAAGGTAACATCCAATTTTTCAACTTTGTGAAAAATGAACACACCTTCAATTTAATTTTATATATATATAAGGCTTTCTACTTGTGTTTTCTTAAAAAACACAAACAGAAAACAAATAGATATTTTGTTTTTTCTTTAAAAAGTATCTCAATACATAATACTTTTTTTAATTTGATATATCTTAAAACATTAGGGGTTTTTTTTGACAGCATAACAAGAATTCCACAAGACTTTAAACATGCTTTAAAATGACATTCAGCAATGTATGTAAAATTTAATAAATAGGTCACAGTCATACACAAATACATTTTTCATAATAAATCATTAAGCCTACTTAGACTGCCCAAGTATAAATATAACAGCAATTCACAATCTTTACCTTCTCAAAAGATGCATTTCTTGGTATCATCAAGAAGTAACAACCACCAGCTGGCCATTAAACTGGAAACATTTTTTTTTCTCTTGCTGATATATTTTGCACTAACAATGGGATGTAATAAAATAAAAACCTTGAATTTTTTGTTGTTGTTTTAAAGCACAAACTGATACCAGGTAAACTAGCTTTTAAATATAGTGAATAAATAGGAAATTAGTAAAGCAAATTCAATTGCAGCAACAAACAGAAGAAAGTGAGAACCCAAGAACAGAGCTATGGAAATATAATAGATATTCATTGTTGCATTAGAGACTAATATTTAAAGTTATAGTGCATATGCACTAAGCTCTTTAGAGACCTTAATATAGGTTTAGTGCAAATCCCTTTAGACTGAACAAATTTAAACTCTATTAGGGAAAGATCCATTACAGTTTTCTAAAGTTATGCGTACCTATTTCAGCTTCTTAAAAAACACATTATATACAAGAATCAAATGCATATTTAACTGCTTTAAGTATCTATCTAGAAAGATAGATGAAAAATTTCTTTGAATTTTTACACCTTATTTGGTTGTACCATTCTAGACCAACTTATTAAAGTTAATGTTATAAAAGCTACAAAACATTTTTTTTTTTGCCATCAGTTTCTGCCATTTCAACATTTAAAAGAAAAAAAAATACAGTGTAAGATAGATGAAAAATTTCTTTGAATTTTTACACCTTATTTGGTTGTACCATTCTAGACCAACTTATTAAAGTTAATGTTATAAAAGCTACAAAACATTTTTTTTTTTGCCATCAGTTTCTGCCATTTCAACATTTAAAAGAAAAAAAAATACAGTGTACTGGAGAAAGTCCATCCTTTGAAAAAAAAAAGTTCACTAGAGAACATTCAGTAATTTGACAATATAAACCACAAGAGGAAAAAAAAAAGAATACTTTCAGCAATAATTAGCATTTAGTATATTGTATTAAATTATATTGGCAATTTACACTGGATTTGATTTTAACATGAAATAAATATTACGTACAAAACAGTCTGACAAATGGGAGTGAATGGTAGGCAGCCAAAAGTGTGGGTGAGCAGCCATGTTCCTACTGTAAATTACACAATGTTAAACTATCGGAAACTGAGGACTACTTCCTAGATTACTCTATTCTTCTTTCTTCCCAAAAGCATGAGTAAGGATCTGGCAATGGATGCATGCCTCTACAACACTGAAAATGCACACATCCTGGTATGCCAGAAACACGCATGCTGCACAATTCCACCAAGTTCACCCGCTGGTTATGTGTTTCAAAAATTACAGAGACAACCCATCCTCCGTCAACACCTTGCCCAGGCTTTAAGGACTCTAACAGAAAAAGCAGCTCTAGGAAAAGCTCTCAGGAAAAGGACCCTTAAAGGGTAATAATAATAACAAGAACAACAACAAAAACCACCACCCTAGCAACAAACATACATTACGTATGTAGACTGGTAACAATCTTTTTTTAGTTCCTCTTGCGACAGATTCATTCAGTCATGCACAATCAAATTTGGAAGTCACATGAGTTGCCCTGGGTTCTTTTTGAAACAAAAATCTATTTTTTTCCTTAAGGGTGAAGTACAAAAACAATCACCATATTGCTCCAACTTGCAGACATTTCCACTCATTCAACCAACACTTAGCAGAGTAGCAAAGCCTCATCATCACTAATTTCATTTTTCAACAGAGCTTCTAAGCATGAGTCAGGTATCTGAGCAGTGTGTACTATTCCACAGCGCTCACAGGGGCCATCTCGGTTACAGCACCGTACTCCATTATGTGTTGCACTGTATGGCTGTCTAAGCCCTTGTCCTTGATCCGAAGTGAGATCAAGCAGAGGTTGTGAACAATCATTCACATCAAAGTCTGATGCTACATCAGAAACTGGAATTAGCATTTCAACATCATCATCTTCATCTCTTCCTCCACCTACTCCATTATCAAGCTGTCTCAAAGGGCTTTGGTTTTGATTAACTGGACTTGATCTTCCTAAGGTGAAGCGTACCCAGCGTAACCCTTGAGTCATACGACTTAACGCATTAGAAAACTGATGGCGTCCTGGACTAGAACTTGGAGGATCCATGCTTGTTGGTTCTCTTCCACTGTCTGTACTACTGCTAGTATTCTGTGTTGAGGAAGTTCCACAGAGTACAGTTGCTTCCACAGCTGTTGCAGGAGGGACCTTTTGAGGCAAAGTAGCAGCAATACCACCAACTGCACCTGTTGTGTCTCTTCGTTCAGTTTCTGTATCAGTATCATCAGATTCCACTGAAAAGAGGCTTCGGTGTGAACTATTTCTTTCTGTTTCTCTGTTACTGTTCTGGCTGGTAAGGTCATCTCCATCTGATGACACCAACGCCATGGATGCAGAATGACGAGATCTTGCAAAATTAAAGATTCGGTTCCAAATATTACTTGACCGGCCAGCAATTGGAAATCTAATAGAGGTAAATCCAAGCTGAGATCTCACTGCTAGTCTCAAATTTTCTAAAACCGAAGCCTGAAAAACAAACATAGGTAAGTCCAATGCTATAAAGAAAAAGGTAAAAATGAATGTAATATTGGTTCCATTTTATTTTTTCTGTAAGTCTCATTATTCACTTTATAGCTAACACAGAACTAATGACTTACTGAATCTGAGCAGAAAAGAGAAAAGACCAAGAAGCCTGCTTTTGCTAAAGATGCCATGAGTAAAAGCATTGAAGTCATGCTGGAGCTTGAACCTCTCTTCATCTAAATATAGTCTTTCAAAAGTACAGATCCCCAACTCATTACTAGGTACTTTCAATTCCCTCCCCTCCTCCCCCTTCCATCCCTTATTACATCTTGCAGATAATAATAAGACTAATGCAGCTTGAACACCACTCCTGACTGTTTCCTGAATCTCTGCATACCACCTATTTTAAAGAACAAAGGGGGTGTGTGAGTGAGGCATGGCCAAAGTACTGAGTGGAACTATTAGAGCCTCAGTGTGGGCCCCCAAAGAGAATTTTAGATGAGACCCCCAAGGTGTCAAGTAGAACTCTTAAGAACTTTGAGACAGACCCACCAGTATTTCAAGGTACTGGGCAATCTCCAAAGTCAGAGTACAGACCCACTAAATATTGTGCGAGGAAGAGGAAAGAAGGTAGATGGATTAGTCCCAGGCTTAATTATTATTTCAGTTTCTTAGTTCAACATACACACAGTGGGAGATTTAAAAATGATAGTGGATTAAATTAATTAATGGTGCAGTTGTTATTATTTTCCACATTTAGGCATTACTGGCATGGCTTTCTGGTGATATTTAAAGAACTTCATTTGATGGAATACTTTGCTAAGAGTAACGTGCACCCAACTAAATTATTACAGTGATAATATAAGTACTATGCATATGAAAAAGCCACATGATTACATGACAGTTCCATTGGCTTTATCTTTATCCACTTTGCATACATTGTACATTTACACATGTATTGAAGTGACTGAAATAGAAAAAATATCATTGTCCTTTGGCTTTCTGAAGACACAGATCACTTAATTTTAAGAATTAAGGACTTTTGCACAGAAAGATTGTTAAGCAGTTACAGAGCTGAAATATAAAACTAACGTGTAATAGATTTCTGCTTTTCATAGTTTTTTCCCTCAAAGACTCCACAGAATTTACACTGGTATTCAGAGAAAAAGAAGTATTTCAATATGCTTTCAGGAAAACTCAGCTCTGTATGCTTCTTTGGAAAACAGAAAGAATTTTCAATGGAAACTGAAAGACAATAAGCAAGCACTCATGAAATGTGAGTAATCAAGAATTAACTGTCTGTGTATAATAAACAGAACTGTTACTCATATATGTAACATATATATAAGAGAAAGAATCATTCCCAAGGTAGCATCCAGATGTTTACTAAATGCTGTTTTTGAGTCTGAAATATTTTTAAGACTTAAATCAGAAATATTTCAAGAACCCATGAAATGTAAGTATTTCACAACATTTCAACACATTAAACCGAAGCAGTCTGAGTTTTATGACAAAAATTGTTTGACCACTTTGTATCAGACTGTAAAAATCCTAATCTCATGGCCATTAGATTTAGCAAAAGAAGTATTCCCAATCTAATTGCCTTATTTGGGGAGTGAGGGAAAGACAGGATAAGAGAGATGCTGGGCTGGATCCAAAGAGTGAAAGTTAGTGTGTCAGAAATGATATATCTGGTAAGATAGTTTGAGTCTAGAGAATCCTCTTGTAGTAAGGAGCTGAACTAAATAAAGTAATGTTTGATTTTTCAGAGCAACCTATTTAGAGTTACCATAGAGGTTCTTACCTGATTTGGTGAACAAACTGGGAAATCTTCAACTGGTGGAATTAGACCTTGTGCAATCAACTGTCCGTAAGAAGGAGGTGCTTCTCTTCTCAGTAACTCTGCCTCAACCCTTGACAGTTGTGTCTCAAATGACCTGTACAAAAATACAGGAATGCTATATGGAATCCAAGTCATATATAACAGCAACAATATTTTGTGTTATATAGTACATTTGCGCTAGGAAAGGGACCTGTCCTTTTTAAATCTAAGACACATCTGCCCACTGATGGTGCAAAATTAATTATAAGAACAATAATAATTTCATCAAAAGAAGAACTGAGTTTGCATAAGCCTATCAAATTTCAATCTCTATTTTTCATGTATTTCAAGCAGTCAAAATTAGATTTTACTTTTTCTTTGACAAATGAAAAACATTGGTAGAATTCATCAATAACCAAAGCTATTATTCCATGTATACACTATCATATTCTCAGACAAATGAGAACAAACCAGCAGGTTGCTTACCTTCGTTCAAACATTCTTAATGAATACAGTTTACAAGTACATCCCAATGCAATGACAAGAAGCAACCCACAGATAAGGCTTCCAATGACAGCAGCTGTAATTACTCTGGTGGGTACAATCACGGGACAGTTCTCTTCATCACTACCATCACCACAGTCATCTTGAGAATCACACACCCAGCTCTCAAACACACAGCGATTATTTTTGCAGTGGAAGTTCCCTGGCTGGCAAAAGAAGCAATTCTTTTCATCAGAACCATTGGGACAATGATTTTGGTAGTTGCAGCGGTCCGAGCGTGGGTAACAGGCACCATTGCGAGAGCATGGGAATTCTTCCTTCTGACACATGGTGCAGTTAGTTTCATCCCTTCCATTTGGACAATGCCAGTAGCCATCACAACGCTGTTGCTCTGTGTAACATCCCCAGTTTCCACCACAGGGAATTTCCCAGGGCAGACAAAAACCATCTACTTGATATGTAGCATTAAACCCTCTTGCAGCATTTACTTTGTCAGCACAAAAATGCACTCTGATTTGACCAGAAGATGAAACAACTGTAAGAGGTGCATGAGAGTCAAAGGCAGTTAAAACACGCAATAGCTTGTGTGGGTTTTCTTCTAATCCGTCATATATTTTGACATAATCCCCATAACCAGTACCATCAAGTTTAAAGTCAGTGAAACGCAAAATAACTTTGCGGTGATCTCCTGTATCTATCAGCCAAGTACAATTGCTCCCTGGGGGATAAAAGTCTGGATAATTAGGAGAATTGAAAGTACCATAAAAATATTTTAGTAATTGCCCACAGGTTGGCAGGCCACAGTCTATTTCATCTCCTAAGTCAAGACAGTCAAGGTTTCCATCACATCTTGAAGATTCTGGAATGCACGTATAAACATTGAAACGAGAGAGACACTGGAACTGATTGTATGCACATGGTTGGAAGGAAGCAGCAGTTGGAGGATTAGCTTTGGAACAGATTTCTTCATCAGAATTGTCTCCACATTCATCCATGTCATTACATTTCCAAGATTCTGGAACACATTTCCCATTAGCGCAGTGGAACTGGTTACAGTCGCAGCTCAATTCACTGGATTTCCCTGAAACCAATATATTTAAGAAATGTTTATTTATTTACTTAAACTTACCACTTTTTGATTTTACATTAGTCCCATTTACATGTAACGGAAACTGTAGAAAAAGGAACTGCAGGACTATGGCCTGCTCCCAATGGAAAATGTTTTCTTTCAGCTCACTCACATTTCTATGGATATCTGAGGTTTGAAAGTCCAGATGTCTAGATTTAAAATAGCTAGGTTCCCCCAAACTCTTGCATGCATGATAAAAAAATAAAAAATCAGAACCCTTTTTATGACTCTCAGCCAAATGGAGGGGTTGGAAATCACCATTGCCTGTGAGCCCTACAACTATTAAAGTTTTCACTAATTAATATGAGAATAAGTTATCTGGAAACTGTATTGTATCAACTTATCTTCCACAATTTGATAGTGTTGGCTATTGATACATAACATAATTTCAATTGCTTTATTTTGTGCTTTCGTTTGCCTGTTTGTGCTTAAGAAAACTGCAAATTTCAGAAAGGCAATAGGTATTTTCCTGTGAATGTCTCCAAAGAGACATTGCCAAGATTGGATCCTTTTCCTGAGCTCTAAATCAACTACTGACATATTTAAGTTAGCTGAAAATGCCTACAAATCCTCAAATGTTTCTAAAATTTAAAAAAAAAAATTATCTGTCAGCAATTTTTCAATTTAAAAAAATGGAAAAATTATAAGTTTCCATCATAAAGAGTGCTCATATGTAGACTAAAGCCAATGATAACTAAATTCATTGGGTTTGGACTTAGCAGCTTATGTTAACCATTTTGGTTTGTAAATCACAATTTATGAATTTGTATGTTTTACAAATCCAGCTAATTGTGGTTTGCTTGGTAAACTCAGGTTAAACAAAATCATGGCCTAGTGAGTTGTGTGAACCCAGTCATTATGCTTTTCATGTGAAACTATAATGAGCCCACAATCTAAGCAACATGTAACATATTGACTAAACCATTTTTAAATTTAAACATACCAGCAAAATAAGTCAATCTGAAGCCTTTCCGGGATATGATATCATCTGAATGAAATCTGATCCAAACGTGGTCTTGTGAGGAGATATATGGAGATGGAACAGAGGATCCACATACTCTGTAATTTTCCATATTTTTGTAGGTCCCTATTGTTAAGGAATCTGAACTGCATCGCCGTGATCCCTGAACATCAAAATCCTGAAAACTATGAAAAAAAAAAATCTTCTTTTAAGAATTACCATCACTATTTAAAAAGTGGTGATTTCATACATATGTTAGAAGCATTTTTGACATGACAAAATTTAACAAGGCTTAAAGCAGTATTTGTTACATTATCACAAGATCATGGTTTTCATATATTCTATACAATAAATTAATACATTTATCTTATACAAACTGCATCTTAATTTTTTGCCTATTTTTGGTGGGGAGGGGGGAAACTTTTAAAAGCCCTATTAGTTTTAAACTAAACAGAGAATTACATGCTAACTATATACTACTAAAATTCTCTTGTCTGTTTGTAACCTTCAACTGGGCAAAAAGCTGCATCATAGGCCAACGGTTTTTGAACCAAGGTACCTCAAATGGGCTAATTTACAGAATGCGTCCAAAATCCGGGACCCATTGCTCCAGTGGGATTGAAATTTGGCAAAGTTGTGGCTGCCTCAGCACCACCACGCTGCCATGGTTAGCCACAGTCATGTGACTGTCATTTCCAGTGCTCCCTGCCAGTTTCCCACAAGCCAACGGGGAAGCCGACAGGAAAATCTAAACTCAACTGGGATTGCTGATGCTCCTTGCCAGCTTCCCACAAGCAAAGTCAGTGGGGAAGCCGGCAGGAAGTTGCAGGTCCCAGGCCAGCAGGCAGGTAAGTGACTGCTGCTGGGCGGGAGAGGGAACGAGGGAAGATGTGGGATCATCAGGGAGGTTGTGCAGGGGTGCATGAGAGGCACAGTGCAGGTCAGGGAGGGTGTGAGAAGGTACCTGAGAGATGCAGTGACGGTCAGGGAGGGCGTGCTAGGATGCAGCGCAGGTTTTATTTATTTATTAAATTTGTCCCCCGCCCATCTCCCCCCAATGGGAGATGGTTGGGGAGGGTGCACAAGGATTGAGTCGAGGAGGGTACATGGGGGTGTGGTACAGGTTGGGGAGGGTGCAGCACGGGTCAGGAAGGGTGTGTGG